TCACCATCTGCTCTTCGCCAGAGCGTACCAGCGCTGACGACAAACGGAAGATGATATTCCACGTGAAGCCTCGGGGAGGGTTGACATCGCGCTTGGCCAAGCTAGCAGAGAAGCAGCCGAATACCAGTGTTACTGTTCTTCTTGATGGCCCTTACGGAGGCCTCCCCGTGAGATGGGGTGAAGGATTCGATCGGACTCTCGTTATTGGCGGAGGTGCGGGCGCTGGTACTACACTTCCGCTCATCGAGAGCCACTTACAGAAGACGCTTGAAGGGAAGAAGGACGCACAGTTCACTGCCATTGTGGCGTCTCGTGATCCTGCATTCCATAGCTGGTTTGTTCGGGCGCTGGAAGACCTGGCTACGAGATACTCGATCTCCGAGGCTGTTACTGGACTCACTGTGCTGATTCACCAAACAAACGACACCGCGATAGCCGTGGATGCTTCGTCAGTTTCTAACACAGAAGATGCTGAGAAAAAGGTCCACAGCGACGCAATGCCTGAGGACGGTACGGCGTCGTCAGTTGCTGATCTGTTCGGGGTCCATCTCGAAAAGGGACGACCGGATCTACCGGCCTTGGCTAGAGCCCCATTACAAGAGAAGGGCGTGACAGTTGGGTTAGTTGTTTGTGGACCAAGCTCGATGGTGCGAGATGTGTCTGTGGTGGCGTCCGAGGCGCAACGCGGAATCCTCAATGGCTCTGTAGCCGCCACTGAAGTTTGGTTCCATAAGGAATCTTTCTCGTAAGTTTTCTGAATTTGGCTTTAGTAGCCGCATCCTCATTCTGAATTTGTTCGAACACTACTGACGGATATATCGTTTAGGTATTAAATGCATGAGCTGGGTAGAGCCCAAGTAAAATAAGAAACCTGAGTACGATACCATATAATATTTGAAACAGTTGTTCATATTTGCTGTGACTTGTATACTCTCGGGAAATGTATCAAGGAACTATGTTCTTGAAGTCCCAATTGCCGTAACTGGCCAAACCCAAGAAAATGCCTGGCCCTTTGAACTTCTATACTCGAATGAAGAATTGGTCTCAGGAACAACGTGGAGAAGAGATGAAGCATAGTTGATACATGAATAGGTGATACGTTAGGGGCGTGAAAAAGAGACAGAGAGACCTGGTATCTAACAACACGCCTCAGGATACACAATTCCAACATGCTGCGCTTTTAGGATCGTTGCAGCTAGACTCCAGCTGGGCCTTACTGGGATAGGGGCACACAATGCGATTCCATATGGTACCGTAATCTCTTGAGGAATAACTGGGAGAGAAAAGGCAATTGATTGTGGCGAAAATCAGCAAGTTATGGAAGAGCAACATTGAGACATGAGTTGATATCTATAAGTGATACTGAATTTTCGTGACGTGAGAATGATATTGACAAAGAAATTATGAGAGCTCATTATCTAAATATTTACATTAAAGATAAACTATAAAAATCAACGCAAGGAAAGCAATGATGCATATCAACCGGCGATACCGACAATCACTCTCTCTGGGTATTCATATACAAGCCGTATCCAGCCAGCCCCAATAGATCAATCCTCATGCCTAATCTCCTCTGGAACCAGCGGCGAGCTCCTTAGGCCATCCCACCAGTAGCTTGTGACTAGTAATGTGTGAATGGTTGCCATTGCCACTACGGATAAAACATGTTCTGCGGGAATGAGGCAGGGGCCTTTCCTAAATAGAGACGAATCCGAGAGCAGTTCAAATCCAAATTTGGCATTTAGAGGCTATATTTATCATCAGAATCCAAAATAAAATTCACTATGATGTGGCCCATAGGGGAGAGTAGGAAGTCTCATGCTTACCCATTTCAGCAAATGATTGATGGATATTACTTTTCGTGAGTTTGTGTCGTCCCACACAGTTCCCTACACATCATCAGCTTGAAGAACATGAATCATTCGCGATCAAAATGAACTCTCTACCTCAATGGCCTTATAGCGGATGCGCTGGCCAGCTGTCTCATCCCATGCAGAATGGAACAAGGGGTCCTCTAGACGTTCGGCAATATTAATCCCCATGTCGACAATCCGTACGGTCCTCGCCCCTCCTCGATGTGCATACAGAAGAGCCCGAGGAGAGTCAAAGCAAACTATATGAAACTATCAGTCCCTGTGGCGCACATAACTGTCAATAACGTTTGCCTCGAAGTTCGAGCACTTACATTTGGGCTCATCGCGAGGGAAATATCGGGCCCTGACCTCAAAGCAGGGGTTGCCGATGGTCTTTATCTTGGCGTGTCGGCGAAATCCAGTCCCATCCTCCGTCCTCGTGAAGATGGTTGCGTCGCTCGACTTGTAAGGAGGAGTAGGGAAGTAGATGACGACGAGGGCCTCGTTCAAATCCTTGGGATACCTCTGCGCGACGGCAAAGATGTACTTATCCTCGAACTCGAACTCAAGTTCATGTTGACTGGCATCCAAATTGCTCAGCCGAAATACACCCCTGAAGGAGCCACAATGGCACAAATGTCAGTACGAGGTCAATGATGCAAACCAGCCCATCTTCCCCAAAGGCTTTATCCCTTACAATCGACTTGGAAGAGGGAACAGTCCCATTTTGCGGCCGCTGATTTTCTTTCTTACTTGCAATAAGTAAGAAGTCAGCCGGCCCGTGGGCAGGAGAGACGTGATCCCTTGGGTAAGGGTTAATAAGGGGAACCGGCTTGCTTATTTATTCCTTGCAAGCGAACGACAGGGTAGGGTAGGGGGCACATTGGATAATACCACCTACTCACCTGAGGCGTTGTGGTGACATCTCCCCAACAACTGTTCCCCGACCCCTGCCTTCTGCCCCCCGCATTCAACTTCCGCGCTCTATCGTTCTCGATTAGGGCTTTTAAACACGTGGTTTATGGCAATATATGAAGGATTCTGGGTGGGAGGGAGATTTGGTGGGACCACATGGATTTCCGATTGCTGCGTCTCTGGTGGTGCCAATATTGGGAATGGGACCCTGGCAACACATTCCCCGAAGGATGCCCATAGTTTGGATCCTCCTGAAAGTTGGTGGTGGATCGTATTACGTGCCAAGTCGTATTTATACGTCTAGTGCAGTCACGCACGAGGCCTCTTAAGCTTACTCGAGGTGTCTGACGCTTAGGATTGCCAATGGTCGGCCCTGGAAGCATGGAGCGACGGACGTTGTAGGGGCAAATCTTTCGGACGATACAGACATGTTTTCATGCGCGACGTGGTGGCTGGCTGAAGGGGATTTCGAACGAGGCACTGGTCGGAGATGGGACGCTCCAGCGATACTTGAGAAGGATGATGAAGTGACACGGTTGAGAGATCTTAAGACTTATGGCAGTGTGCCAAACCATGAAAACGGCGATTCAATGATCTCGTTGAGCTTGAGCTCAAGGCTGTAGACTATTTCTGGATGAGAATCTCACCAGACATCATAGAGAGAGTCGCTTCCTCACTCTGGAACCATTCATTCCAAGCCTTAATCATCGTATCGAGATCGTACTCAGTTGCTAATCCCATTTTGAGGGCCGTATCCCGAAGCCTCCCCCCCTGGAGCATCCCAGTCATTCCATCTGCTGTAGAGATGTGGTTAGTACCGGCTGGCCACACAGTATAGGCCTGGAAGAATAAGAAGGGGCATACTTACACCAAGCTTTCTTCTCCTCGGTGCTGCTATAGCCCCATGATCCCCACGTTACTCTCGTGTCCTCCCTTCGTGCCCCAGCCTTCAATGCCCACCCGAGCAACTGTCTCCCTCCATCGGAATGCCCTCCAGAGGCTTTCATTAATTTCTCTGTGAAGTTATGAAACCTCTTTAGGCCCTCCGTCTCGGGCCACACGGCCTCGGTTCTGAAATCACCTTCACGCGCTGATACGATACCGCCTGGCTTCGTGACTCGAAGCATCTCGGCCAAGGCAACCCACGGTTCCTTTTGCCAAGTAAGCACTTGGTGGCAATGGACAATATCGAAACTGTCATCCGGGAAAGGCAGTTTCGATGCGTCGCCGGTCTGGAAGGTCACATTCTCCGCTTCCCAAGAACGAGTTACTAGCTCTGCCCTCTTGAGTATCTCGGAGTCCTTGTCTATTCCCGTGACCAGGCCCTGAGGTATCTCTAGTGCTAGAGTCGCAGTGATGGAACCGGAGCCACAGCCGACATCGAGAAGCTTGACATCGGGACGGGCATCTCGGAGAGCGTGGAGCGCCGGTAGGAGATGTGTCGCGCTGTTACTTGCCGTTCGCCATTCGTGATGTGTTAGCGGGGTGCTTCCCGATGGATCCGGAATCTGGGGAGGCTTGACTATAGGCGCTGTAGCCATGAATTCTTTGAGGGCTGGGACAGACATTGCTAATGGATGGGTTCGAGTTGTTAGGTACACAAGTAGGCTCTTAGGGAAGTCTGAGGAATTCTCATTGAGAGGCGTTGGTTGGTTATTCTCGAAACACTATGTGGCGTTGGAAGAATCAAGTTTAACTACTGACAAGCATCGAGCGGAACGGAGATAAGACAACCTTACCGCCGTCACTCCAGACAAGGGGAGCTGTTAGGCACACGCTGGGGAAAATGAAGATAGTGCTTACATTTGGTATCAACCTGCCGGTGTTAGGCAAGGCCGGCGAGAACTCGTTACTTAATCGCTCGTTTCGACAGAAGCCCCCTGCCGCGGAAAAAGCACTCGGTAGGAAGTTGATGCCGAGCTAAGAATGATTATATACAGCGTACAGGTTTGTTTCGGGATAAAACTGCAATTTATTCCGAAAGACGATAAAATCTAATTGACTACATGTTCTGATCTAGGAAAACGCAAGGACTGGTATCTCATCATTTCATCGTATGGTTCTTCATCGTGGTGTTTGGTTATCGGCCGTCAGCAAATGCATCAACGGCATTGGCGAAGCTGGGATAGGAAAAAGGAAAGATGAATGGGAAAATTTGGAAAAAGCAGACTCTGCACTTGTCCGTCTTGGCGCAGGTGTATTCGGAGCCCTAATTACTGTGCGACTCGGAATTTACGCTGACTCTCCATCGTATTTGACGCGAGTTGGCCCACGCTTAAAGAGTGAGGCAAGGCTGAAGAAAACACCAAAGGTTGCTGTGACCATCCATGCCGTGAAGATGATGCGGGGGATATATAGGATGGTCATCCAGACGTTGGCGTGAGTGTCGTAGGTGCTGATAAATAGCGAAACGAAATACGCGATGGCATATAAGCCTTCGAAGGTTTGGCGCAATAGAGTGAGGATAAATATGGCTAGCAGGGATCGATACACCCGGTGAGAGTTTTGAATCTGAGGGACGATCATGTTAGCTGGGGTTATACATATCACTGACGGGGCATGGGAACTTACGTTGGGGTTAAAGTACCCCTTTCCCTTAACAAGATACACTAGAGAGACAATAGATCCGACCCAGAGAAGAATGAACTGAATCAGATCTATAGCATAGGCCCCGACGTTAACCCAGATTGTTGTTACGCCTGAGACTTCGTAGAGAATAAAGCGGATGACGCTCAGAACGACAAATACTCCTAGAAGGATCTTTGATGTCTTGCCCTTGATCCAGCCACTGGATTCGTCTTTGAAACCGCGAGCGACCTCAATTTGAGTGGCCATAACTACTGCAAGTGTTACGAGGTAGAAGAGTTGATAGAGGGCGTAAACGTGGAAACGGGGACTGTCGTAGATGTCCCCTCTGTAATAATACGAGACTGGCGAAAGCATAGCACCAATCCAAAGTGCCATCCATCTAAAGAGAGGTTAGTTAGTCGGAATATGACTGAGAATTGCACACTGTGCACGGTAGCTTACATTGTACCGAGGGTCATCGAGGCTTTAATCCAAGAAACATATGAACGAGCGTAGTCTCCACGACGGTGAAGAGTAATGAACCCCGCGACTGTCATAATGAAAGTACATAGTAGGGAAATGGCAATGAATGCCAGGCCAACTATATTGATAGTCCAAATTGTATTCGCCATGGTATTGGTAGGGAGTGTTGAGATTAGATAGAAACGGAATGTGGCTTTAATGACTTGACCGCTCTGTGTGATCCTTTAGATTTCAAACACGTCTTACTGGGGACCATCACCTGCATAAATACGCGAGATGGTATGTGCATTCCTCCCCGTCTTGGCTTTTTTCTCACTCTTGGCACACGCTTCTATTTTGCACTGCCTGGCTCTTTGCCCAGCCAAGGGTGTTGATCATGTGCCCTGCGATAGATGGATATGCCTAACGGGACTTTTGAGCCAATTGAATCATACCATAAAAAGAGTTTGCGAATAAAGCCAAAGATCATCATCCCTGGCACACGTCACTGCTTGTTGAGCCAATCTTTTCCCCATCCGTGGAGTCCAAGAAGCGTCCTTCCCCACTGTTCTGGCAACTCTTTTCCAAAATCATAAAGAAGCCGAAGTGCTTGGATGCGTACTGTGGGAAGAGATCTTCAATCCTTAAGTTAGAACCAGGCAGATGGAACGGGCTGTGCTGCGCCCTGCATCTGTATAGCCACGACATCGCCGCCACGATCTCGCCAGCAAGGCACAGAATAAATGGGGGACAGATCACTGTGCGTGGGATGGGAAAAAAGTAATCATTCCAGGACACTATGCCGCACTTGATTCTTACATTTTGGAATGAATGACAGTTCATCATTCACCTCGTATTAAAGACGTTAGTTAAAACGAATTAGACTTCTTTCAGGATCTACTCTGGCTCAGTGCCTAACGGGAAATCCGTGTGTTCTTTGCCACCCAGATTTGTCCAAGACAGACTAAAATTATGTGCCGCTATGCCCAGGCTGAGTGGATGATCTACACACAAGTTGATGAGAGCAAGCTTAGTGTTGTGGGTCATCCTCAGCTGAGCCTTGGGCAACGATCATGATGACACGCAATGAACTTGCGTTCGTCTGGTGATTCGAAAGAGTCCTCGTGGACTCCGTTACAGGAAGACGAAATCAGTGGTCTACCAGCACAGAAGGGTTCCTCAACCATAACCAGTGTGAATTGCCTTGGCATATCAAACTTGCGTTCGACTAGCTTCTGCAGCTACCGTTCAGCTTGGTCTTGGCTACTGGACCCCAATGACGCAGTCTGGTCGTTCAGCTGGTAGCTTTTGTCCAGAGCTATCAATGCGTTGAGATCTATTGCAAATAACAAGCGGTAGTGGCGTGCCTGCATCATCGTCCAACCGATATCAAGGCCTCAAGAAGGAAACAGAATAGGTGTGTCAAAGGATCAATTAAACCACGCTTTTAGATTTACAACCATGGTATTTTCAAAATATGAAACGCTTGAGTACAAGGAGAACAATAGCTACCTAAACCAAAAAAAAAGGGGGGTACATCAATACCAGGGCCCCTATGTAATGGGCCAGCTCCGCAGAAATTCCCATGCATTGTCCCCGAATTCAGACATTTCCAGCGTGTCCCCCGTCGGACCAAACGGTGCCAATGAGGCATCAAACGGCAGAGACATCCACTCTTCTGCACTTGGCTGGAAGTTGTCAGCCGAGATATCTGCGTCACTGATCTGAACAGCCAGATCGATGCCATTTTCCCACATTCCGCTGCCCCAGTTGATGGAGGCAGGTATTCCTCTAGGCACAGACGATGGAACTAGCCGCTCCCTGAATCTCGCGACATGGCGATCCAGCAGTGAGGCATAGCGAGAGGCAAGATGCATGTCGTCGAAATTGCTAGTGTGGAGTGCCTGTATCGTCTCTTCCAGGATGGCCAGCGAGGACTGGACATTGGACGAGCGTGAGCCGAGACTAAGGGCTTTGAGAAGGAAGATCGAGGCGGCGATGACGCGGAGGAATATGCGGACAGGCTGATAGCGGAGCGTGCCGTCACCTGCTAGCTTATTGACGATTTGCAGGACCGAGCAGCTCCCGTCAATGACTTCCTGGATGAATTCGTAATCTGTTGACGTGAGGGAGGAGTTCAGTATGTCCTGGCGTTCAGTGGTCGACTTTCCGTCTTGCAGAACGCGGTCCACCACCGCCTGCATTCCAAGGCTGTTCATGAAGATGTTGAGGTTATAGTAGTCGATAGAGAGTAGGATGAAGAACTCTGGGTTCATGCTTTCATCTTTGAGATGGGCTGCCTTCCACGATAATAACTGCCCCTTGAAGTGTTTAATTATGTTGATGTACCTGCTCCCGAGTAGAATCTGCCGCGCTTCCAACGATGATGGGAATAACACATCGCTAATTGTACGAAGAAGGCTCGTCAGCTCAATCCACGCCGACAAAAAAGCCGAATCTGGGGCGGCAGGCGATCGGTCTGGCAGGGCTCGACCTTGCGTGTGCATCGCGAGCGAGGTGCATCCCAGTCGCGTGGAAAGTTGCTCGATGAAGATGTAAAGTAGTTTAGCAAGTCTTGGACCCCGAGACCTTTGGCTCAGAGGATGTGAACCGGGAATATCAGTTTTGTTGGGATCATAGAGGCCGAGTTCGTGGGCGAGCGATTGGGCGCAGCCGAGCAGCATCCAGGACATCTTGTCTGACATTCGGGCCGGCTCAACGATATCGGCCATCCATCTTGTGCCGGGTGCGTCGGCCTGATTACCATAAGGGTCGTCACGATCGTCTTGCACGGACAGAAGAAGATCTGAGTCCCAACCATCTGAGCCTGGAGGGAAGTGGATGGCATTTGGCTGCCACTCATGGATGAGAAGGAGTGCCTCGAGAGCCCCGACTGTCCTAGTCTTTGCTTTTGATTTCTTTTCTTGGCCGAATATGATTCGCATGATGAGATGTTGACAATGATCCCAGAGCCGTTGATGAATAATGACGCCGCGAGTGGTCCCACCCACCCCTGGGAGGGTGTGATACCGAGCTGATATCATCAAGATCGTACAAGCCAGAAGAGGCTCTTGGGTAACGAGGCTGTAGTGCTTTGAATGACTTAGATCCCAGCCATGACAAACTGGAGACATAGGAGCAAGATTCTTGAAGAACCTACCCAGCGAGGTTGTAAGTTAGAGAAGGGCAGTAGAAAGGTAGCTGGTCTGATTTACTCACAGGTCCATATACGATACTGCTTCTTTGGAGGTGAACCAGCCCATTTTGACAAATCTAAAGGAATCCCAGATATGATAAACGGCGTTAATATGTAGTGATCGAGATGCTGGATCGGGTCCGGCTGATGCCATTGTTACAGGAGTAAGATGCTCTACGGCCTGTGTCCGATGGGATGCTGACATTGACAGCACCGGGCTTTCGGCATCTCTTTGCTGCGCGGCGCAATAAAGAAGGTCCAGCGCTTCGTTTTCGTTGGAGACAAATGTTCGAATCACTGTGTCTGCCAATCCATCCCTCTCGGAGAGAGCGGGCAGGTCGCCTGCCGAACAGGCCTTCTCGGCCGTTCCCTGATACATCTCTGCCCCCTGTAGAAGATCGAGTTTGTTCGGTTGTTGCAGTCGTCGAAACGATTGGGGGTTTTCAATAACGGTGGTGTTATCTCCGGCACTGTCGATAGAAGGCTCCCTTGCAGCGGCGGCGGAATAAAGCGTGTGTGAATCTTCAGTTCTCTGGTTAGCAGCGAGACCAAGAAGACAAGTGAAGGCATCTCGGGCCGTTGTTTGTTGACGTACCTGAGTTTCTTCTCCCTTTCCAGTTCTCAGGACCACGACTAGATCGCTCTAGACTGAAGAGACACTGTCGTGATTCCCGTTTGCATCTTTCGCAAGGGCCGTTACCGTGGCTGTCGTTGGGATCCAAAACGCAGCGAGTCTTCTTCTTCCGGCATGACTGGCAAGCCTTGTAGACACGCTGAAATTGAGACGCCCGCCGTCCCGAATAGCTCGTCATTGCTGCAGGCCGTGGCAGGGGGGTATCACGGATGATAATGGCTGAGAAGAAAGTCCGGAAACCACCGGCCGGACGAGTGGTCCTTATATTGCCTGGGGCTGCATTAGTCCGCGATGAAGATTGATCCTGGGGTCAAGCAAACTTGCGGGGTAAAAGTACCAAAGGCTAGGCAGGTTTGGCCCGATCTCCTCACTAGATAGGTGGATCAAGGCATTACAAATGGCTGGGAAGCTTGTGGATTGGTTCATGCTGCTCCGTACGCTTTTGATGGATATGGCTAGGCCCGGATACTCGCGGAGGAGGCAGATGGTCACAAGTCCCACAATCAAAGTTACGCAGCCCGCTATGAAGCTCGTCTAGAGAGTCATGGATTTCAAATCATGCAGAGTAGATTACATTCGATTGCCGATGAGTTCGATGGGCTCCATGTGGAGAATCTATGCTTGCTCCCGTCCTCTATTTTGTACAGCCCGTTGACCCCAACTAGGTAAAACACATTTATCATCGGGCAACATATGAAGCGGAAACAACACAATTGTAATTCATTTTCTCCAGTGAATGTTATTTCAACCTCCGATCTTTCTCCATATTTCCATTGCTGCACCACACAACTAAAGCTCGTATAGATGATACCTACAACTAGCATGCCTAGGTGACAATTAGGTCAGATAGCGGAAATTCTTATTCTTGTCGCCCTCCTCGGTGACATCAACCGTAGTGTCAGATGCGACAGGCCCATGCTCACGGTCCCTCCTCCTGTTCTCACGCTCCAAGAGAAAATGAAGCGTGAGGGATAAGATCACAATCAAGGCAGTCAGGCCACAGCCAATGGAGACGCCCTTAGTGTAGTGAGGACTGCCAGAAGAATAATGTTAGAACTTGTGCATAAAGCGTGTAATGTTGCGAGTGTAACTCACCTATCCTTTTGTGGGAACACCACACTGCTCATGAACGAGCTGCACTGCCCAAAAGTAGCCAAGATGGCCAGGCCTGCGCCTCTCTTAGAGTCACCTCCCTGGTTGTTCAGTAACCAAGTAATGTTGATGCAGAGCGCTGGGTAGACACCGCAAGCAGCGAGCCAGACACCCGCATACCGGATAGGCGTCTCTCTGCCAACGATGAGTAGGGCGTACCCAACAGTTCCAATACAAGCAAAGGCGCT